TGACCAATGGGAGTCCGCCTCCCCCGCTACCGCACTGCCATTGGCCTGGGGGCGGAGCTTACCGGAAGCGCGGGCGGCGGGCACCAGGTGAGCCGCGCCTAGGTGAGACAGTGCATCCAGCCAGCCTGTCACCGGTTACCTCAGCCCCTAACTTGGGGTGCAGGCCGGCGTCACTCTGGTCCGCACCCGCTTACAGTCCAACCCTCTAGCGGGGCCTTGTTTCCCAATCCCGGGTCCTCCAAAGGTTTTAGGTTCACGCCTCCCGCAGCCTGCACCCGGGTTCACCTCAGCCACAATCCAGCCTTGCTGCTGTGCCCTAAAACCCAGAGCTTAGTGTACCCCAAATCCAGTGGGAATATTCCGCCCACACTGAATATTCAAAGGCCTACTCTGCGTTGCTGCTGCTCACTGTACCCGGCACAGAGGATGCAGTGACCATGTAGCCAAGTCGCTGTCCTGGAACCAAAAGTCTAGTCGCAAATTAGCAGTTTCAGAGCTGGCTTGTGAGTGAAGAAAGCAAAGCAGGCTTGAGGGTTTAGCTCAACTAGCCCTGCGTTGCATCCCAGCCCCGCACAAACTGGATGTGGCGCCTGCCTGTAACCCCAGCGCCCAGGAAGTGGAAGCCAGATGAGTCCACTTTAAGGTCGTCTTTGGCTACGTCAGGAGCCTGAGACCAGTCTGGGGTAGAGCTCCTGTCCGTAGATAAATAAGCATGACAGTTGGATGGACAGAGAATGTCTGGGCTTGTTCTAGAGGGTCCAGCGAGCACTTCCAGGGAGGGTGGCATTGAGCTCAGAGCTGAAGGGATGGAAGGGCTTGGATTCAACACTTGAGCAAAGTGTTGAATTGTGGAAGATAATTTGTGTATGTGTGTGTAAGAAACCAGAGAATTGCAGGAGCCCATTGAAAAGAGATGGGAAAAGTGAGCAGGGGCTGGGGAGTGGTCGAGAATTTGTGGTTCATGAAGGCAGTGAGAAGGGACTCGCGCCAGAAAAGCATGTGCTAAACCTTGTTAAATGATTTTATTTTACCCTTATGGGGGGGGGGCAGAGGACAAAAGAGATTGATCCAAGCACAGGCATGACTCCCCCCACCCCCGTAGAGCCAGGAAGTCAGGGACTGGGAGAGATAGGACCATTATTATCTCTATGACTATGACTGCACCACAAGTTAGATCTTCTGTTGATAGGAGCCCAAGACACCAACTCCAGTTTCTTCCCACCCCACCCAGCCTCACTGCCTCGGGTCTCCCAAGATACAATCTTACTAAAGCTGGAGCCCCACCTCTGCCAGAACCCCACCTACCTTTGAGACGCCTCCATTAATTCCACACAGAGAAAACAGCCTGCGTGGGGCCTCTGGCACCCGAAGACATCCTGGTTTCTTCACCTGCTCATCGCAGCCAACCATTCTAAAGCCACATGTGATTCAAGAAAGCTGATCTTTAAGATAATGGCTTGATGTCCTGAGACAGGTCTCCACAGGGGTTGTGATGTCTCAAACGTCCATCCCTCCTTCCCTCCACCCATCCCTCTGTCTGTCCATCCACCTACTCATCCATCATACTCATTTAAAAGTGTTTGCGCTCCAGCTGACTCTTGTCTTCCCACAGGTCTTGAGGGTGAATGCCGGCAAGGGGTGTCATGGGCCGTGTGTGGTGTGTTGAATAGTTGGGCCAACACTGGAAAACTGAGGGTCACACGATCCATCTAAAGGACACTACCATGCTGTGCACCCACCCACCAGCTGTTGTCCTTGGGCTGTTCATTTTCCACATCCCACAAAATAAGTCTAACGCCTAGTTTTTTGGTTTAAAAAAAATCTCTTTTCACATATTGGCTACTTAACAATTACGGCACACAAAAATATTTTCTGCCATTTCTTTATCCTCACCTTCCTTCTTTTCTTTCTTCTTCTTTCCCTTTGTTTGTTTGTTTGTTTGTTTTGAGACAGGGATTCTCTGTAATAGAGAAAACTGCAATAGAGAAACCTTGACTATCCTGGAATTCACTTTGTCCAGGCTGGTCTCAAACTCTCAGAAATCTGCCCATCTCTTCCTCCTGAGTGCTGGGATTAAAGGTGTGCACCACTACCACCCAGTTTATTTTAATTAATTAATTTATTTTTTTATTTTTCTTGAGACAGGTATTACTGTTTAGCCAAGGCTGGCCTAGCATCAACTATGTAGCCTATATTGGCTTCAAACTCCTCTCAAGTACCAGACAGTTAAAAAACAATACAAAACAAAACAAAAGCCCCACAATATTAAATTCTCATAAACACTGCAAGTCACATGCAAATAACTTGTCACTAAAATTATCTTAAAATACTTTAATGCCCATGTTCTCCAGACAAAGGCTTTTATGATTTTTTAAAAAAATGCTGCAAGATCCCTGGCAGCAGTAGGCAGCAGAAATGCTGTAGGTCCCAAATGGTGGTAGCGGGCCATGTGGCGGCAGACAGTGGGCCCTGGGAGCAGCCAGTCCCAGGCAGAGACGGCTGTCCCAGAGCGGTGGCTCAAGCAGTGGTGGTGGGCCATGTGGCAGCAGGGAGCGGGCTCTGGGAGCAGTCAGTCCCAGGCAGAGACCGCTGCTTGGTCCCTGAGCAGTGGCTGGTCCCAGACAGTCAGACAGGGAGGGAGACACATGGTGGGCAGGCAGGAGACAGAGACATGGATAGACATGACATGCAGAGTGAGATTGAATATTTATTCAGGGGGTTATGGAGGGGGAAGGGAGAAAGGGAACAGAGAGAGAGAGAGAAAGAAAGAGAGAGAGAGAAGAGGAGAAAGAGACAGAGAAAGGGGGAAGCGGAGAAGTGGGGAGAGAGGCAGAAGTGAAGCTGTCTCTCCGAGAGGAAGACAGAAAAGAGACTGAGCTCAGACCAGAAGCTGAAGATCAGCCTGCCTCAGCGGATGGGGGAGGGAGTGTGTGTGGCTTGTTTCTTAAAGAGACAGAACAACCATTACAAAGGTAGTCCATGAGCCATGTCCACCCACGAGCAGAGAACTAATGCCATTCAGCAGTCTCACTCTGTCTTTAGTGTCTAGGTCCCCAGTCCAGGGTCACGTGTTTCATATTCAGGGTCGTTGTGTTGCCTATTGTCCATCAGTCCAGAACATTCCTTGGTCTTTCCGGACTCCCATGACTAACACCTTTGAAGAGGGTTTATCTGATGTCTCCCATTGGATCACAGGTTCCGTCCTACAATAGAGCAGCAGCGTGCTGAGTCCCCTCGTTTCACCCCACAGATAATAATTACACTTGTAATTTCAATGGTCCTCTGTTGAAGTTGTTGGGCTTTGTTTGGTTTGGTTTGGTTCGGTCTTTCAAGACAGGGTTTCTCTGTGTAGCTCTGACTGTTCAGCACTCCTCTGTAGACCAGGTTGGCCTTGAACTCAGAGAGACTCACTTGTCTCTGCCTCCTGAGTGCTAAAATCAAAGGTGTGCGCCACCACTGCCCGGCTTGTTTTACTTTTATTTTTTTTTTAAGCAAGGTCTTATTTGTAGATCAGACTGGCCTCAAACCCACAGAGAACTGCCTGTTTATGCCTTCTGAGTGCTGAGATTACAGGTGTGCACCACCATAGTGGGCTCAAATCTTAATTTCAACATCTGAGAAAGGCAAGGCCCCCTCCGCTTTGCTCCGCTATAATGTGGTTCCTTTCCTTTCTAAAAAGCAACAAATACCCAACTTCATGCTTTGTGCTCGTTGCCACAGTAATCTTAGTTACTGCCATGACATGACTGCCCAGGTGTGGTCTGGGACAGCCCCTCAAGCTGGCCTCTGTGTCTGTTCAACATGTCCCCACCATGTAGTAAGTACCTCCTCACTCTCTGCACAAAGTATTCCAGGTTTAATACTTCAGCCCTTCCTGATCCTGAAGTCAGTCATCTCTCCAGGGGGCCCTGGTTCCCTTAGGTGGTGTGTCATATTCAGAAGCCAAGATCGGATGTGCTGGTGGCTGCTGAGGTGTCACTGTCTCTGGATTCTCTCAAGAGTTTTGGACATACAGAGGTATCTGAAGCTGCAGCCTCTGTGGGATGTCTTTCTGAATGGAAGCCCAGGGTCCTGGCTCTGGCAGATCTAGCCCCAGCAAAAGTCCAAGGGGCCTCTTCTTGCTTCTGCCCTTCCCAAAGATGCACCTAGCTCCTTCCCCAGTGTTCTCATTGGTTTTATCGGTCTGTTGATTTGAGCAAGTTCCTTTGTTGCTACAGTCCCAAACCCAAGATGCCTCGCATGCCTGCAGTTCCAAGAGGAGACCCCCTTTTCTTCCCACAGACCCCAGTTTTCATGCTGAGCCACCTCCACCCATGCAGACATCTTCTTATTCCATTTAGTCTCTGAGACCCTTCTTTCGAGCAGCAGGTACCCTCTCCTTCTCCACAACCCTTGTTCAAGAATAACAAGGGGCTGGGTGATGTGTCACACACCTTTAATCCCAGAACTCAGGAGGCAGAGGCAAGCAGATCTCTGTGAGTTCTAGACCAGCCTGGTCTACAGAGCAAGTTCCAGGGCAGTCAGAGCTACATAGTGAGACCCTGTCTCAAAAAAAAGAAGAAAGGAAGGAAGGAATGAAGGAAGGAAGGAAGAA